TTCAACATAACCCTTTCCTTATTCATGTTCAACTGAACAGAACTGTCTATTTAAAGTAAATTGAGCAAAAAAAATAATGGCAAAAAGCCCCAATTGAAAAAGGGCAACCTAAACCAAGCTCAGCCCCTCTGCCCCACAACCCCAGCAATTTCGGAAAAGGACACCGCAGGACTGCATGACCTCAGGAGCAGATGCCCGGACCAGCCCGGGCAAAACAGTCAAAACCCCCAGAGACCAAAATACAAAACCATAGCCACCTGAGGAAACGCACCCAAACCCAAAGCTAAAAACCACCCAAAGGCACAACAAAAGCCTCAAACAAAGAAGGAGAGGACAAACGAAGCGCAGAGGACGCCACTGCACGCCACCCCAGGCAACAAACCGACAAGGAATCCCCAAAAAACAAAGAAAGAAAAAAAAAAAACCACCACCCCAACACAAATCTGACCCTCCCGGGCACCCCTGGGACGACCTCCAGCAACAAAACAACAGAACGGGATCGCCCCACTAAGCACCAAATAATCACCGTCCCTCCAAAACACACAGACCGCCCCAAACCCACCCCCCCCAGGAAATACGCCAGACCACCCCCAAACCCAAACCAGTGTCTCAGCATTTATCAAGTACGTATGCACCCGAAATAAAGTGTCTCTAAGTAATCTGAACATACATCAGGTACCAAATGCTTAAATTTAGATAACCTCGTAGATAATTACTTGAAAAATTAATAAAATATATTGTAATTATCAACTTTATTAACCTATGGTGTCTGATAAGCAGGAATCTTTGCTTAAGTTGGAAAAAGAGATCAGAGGAAAACAGAATGTAAGCCCTTGATTGGAAAACAGGCTCATTATCTGGACTTGCGGCCTCGGTTTACAGGGATAAAATGGTACCCATAGAAACGGTTGTTCTGAGGACTGATGGAGATTTTGCGTGAAGAGATTTAACATGTGCCTGACATCGACTAAGATTTCCATAAAGTGTTAGCTAGTGGTAATAGCTACTGTTATCCTAAATATTTATATCTCCAGAAGATAGGCAAAGACTTTTATAAGCTGATATAGCTTTGGTTTTCACTGTAGAACTGTACAGCAAATGCTAGTGAATTTGCATATGTTTTTCAATTGCTATCTCTTATAGATGATATATTTTGTTAGTTTTTCTTTTGGTTAATAGAATTTTGTTTTAAAGGAAAATTAAGTCACATTCAGAATAAATTTGCTTAAAAGAAATTTGTCGCTAGATTTATCTTCTAGTTAAGCCGAACTGAGAAAGCAACAAAATTAGCAACTCAATGAAATAGCAGGCTCAAGAAAAAACTTCCACTTTCAACTGAGTTAACAAAGTAATCTGGTATCACAATGCTCCATTGAAATGCAACATTTTACGCTAACTTTTTAAATTTTTTCTGGTATCAAAAATAGTGCATTTCTGTTGTAAACAAATTTTAGAAAATATGCAGCAGACTTCAGACCACTGGTGATCCCACAGTTAAGAGCCAAATCTTCTTAAATACTAGTGAGCTAATGACTGTCTTTTTTTGTAATCTAAACTGGTGCTGCCTAATAGAACTTTCCATGACAATGAAAATGTCTTCCATCTGTGCCCTCAAACATGAGAACCACTAGCCATGAGTGGCTCTCAAGTGTCTGAAATGCAGCTAGAACAAATAAGGAACTAAAGTTTTAATTGTGTTTAATGTTAATTAATTAGAATTTATGGTTTTTAACATGTTTCTCAGCTTTACTGAGGTAAAATTGACAAATCAAAATAGTATATATTTAAAGTAAATAACATGACAATTTGATTTTGTATGCATTGTGAAATGATTCTCACAATCAAGTTGAACAAATCCATCACCTCACATCATTACCTTGTGTGTGTGTGTGCGTGTGTGTGTGTGTGCGTGTGAAAGAGACAGAGAGAAGAACACTTAAGACTCTAGCTCTGTCACTCAGGCTGGAGTGCAATAGTACAATCTCAGCTCACTACTACCTCTACCTCCTAGATTCAAGTGATTCTCCTGCCTCAGCCTCCTGAGTAGCTGAGACTGCAGGTATGTGCCACCACGCCCAGCTAATTCTTTTATTTTTAGTAGAGACAGGGTTTCACCATGCTGGCCAGGTTGGTCTCAAACTCCTGACCTCAAGTGATCCACCCACCTTGGCCTCCCAAAGTACTGGGATTACAGACGTGAGCCACCGCGCCTGGCTACTGTCAGCAAATTTCAAGTAAGCAGTACAGTATAATTAACTATGATCACCATATGGTACATTAGATTCCCCAGATCTTCTTGACCTTATAACTGAAAGTTTGGACCCTTCCATCAGCATCTCCCCATTTTCCTCACTAGCCACTGCTCTACTATCTGCTTTTATGAGTTCAACGTTTTTACAGTTTGCATATGAGTGAAATCATGTGGTATTTGTCTTTCTGCGTCTCACTTCCTTCACTTAGCATGATGTCCCTCAGTTCATTCATTTTGTTGCAAATGTTAGCATTTCCTTCTTTTTCATGACCAAATAATATTCCACTCTCCATATAAACATTTTATCCATTCATCTGTCAACTAATATAATTTTAATTTAAATGTTCACATGTTGCTAATGCCTGCCATATTGGACAGTACAGCTCTTGATGGATATCTTTATGATATTGGGAACTTAACATTGCATGGGGAGCATTTCTCCATATTATTAAACATCCTGGGAAAACATAATTCAAATCCCTCTTTATTGAATTATATGAAAGTATTATGATTAATTTGAACATCACTGATTATGAGGCAATTAGATTTTTTCATTTTAACTCTAATAATAAAGTTACAGTAAATCACTTTGTATGGAAATATTCCTTGGGATAAGTCCTGAGAGAGAAGTTACTAGGTGAAAAGGTAAGAACTTCTTTAAGGCTCTAAACACATGCTGCTACGTTGGTTTCCTGAGATGTTGAATCTATTCTACTCCCACCCACAAGTATTCCAGAGAACCTGCCTCTCTGCACCCTTGTCAACATCAAGCATTACCCAATCCTCAAAAAAAAAAAAAAAAAATCTTTGCTTAATTGACGAGCAGAAATGAGATCAAGTAGTTTGAGTATTTTTGTCCTTGATTGGCGATTGTGGTGTTCATGGATGTGGGCCTCCCAGATCCCCTGCTAAGGGAAGATTCAGCTGCAGTTGTGTGATGAGCAGACAGCACCCGCCACCTGCTTCAGGATCAGCCTCAGCTGCAGGCTGTTCCCTTTCAGGGTGGCCCATGCCCAGTGACACATGAGTAGAAGCATGTGGACCGGGCATGTGGGTCCAACTTGGACATCTCTGATGGACAGTGCTCACTCAGGAGCTCATGGCTGGGCCGCCTGAGGAACTGCTGGGTCTGCATCTCACGCGGACATCTCCATCTGCCCGTCCCGCTTCCCCCCTCCCCATTCCTTTCATAGATGTGGATCTCTGAGGAATATCTAGCACCCCAAATCCATCTTAACATCTGTTCCTGGAGAACCAAATTGCAATAGAAGTGATATTGGACTTTTAAAATTTGTTTACCTTTTTCTGTCGTGTTTGTGTTGAGAAGGATTTTGAGGCCACTTTCAGGCAAGCAGGAAAGAATGTGAATATCAATGAATACATTTGAATCAAAAGATTTGTTATGTCTGAAACAATAGAAAATGTAATAAATGGCCAGGCACTGAGGTGGCTGTAATCCCAGCACTTCGGGAGCCAAGGCAGGAGGATCACTTGAGCCCTGGAGTCCAACATAGTGAAACCTTCTCTCTACAATAAGTACAAATAATAAAAATGGTCAACACAGTGAAAGGGAGGATTACTTAAGCCCAGGAGGTTGAGACTGCAATGAGCTATGATTGCGCCACTGCACTCCAGTCTGGGTGACAGAGTGAGATCCTGTTTCAAAAAAAAAAAGGAAAAGTAATAAAGATAGAGATAGACGTATTTGACTTAAAACTTTCTGCGTATGAAAAACACCCTAGGCTGGGTACAGTGGCTCACGCCCATAAGCCCAGTGCTTTGGGAGGCCAAGGTGGGTAGATCACTTGATGTCAGAAGTTCGAGACCAGCCTGCCCAATATGGTGAAACCCCATCTCTATTAAAAATACAAAAATTAACCCGGCATGGTGGCACAAACCTGTAATTCCAGCTACTGGGGAGGCTGCGGCAGGAGAATGCTTGAAGCCAGGAGAACCGAGACTGTGCCACTGCACTCCAGCCTGGGCAACAGAATGAGATGCTGTCTCAAAAGAAAAAAAAAAAAGTGGATAAAAAAAATTTTAAGGCACAAACTGAAATGACAATAGACAAAAGTTTAATATTTACCTCTAAAGAGACCTTACACGTCAAACTAACCCAAATACAGAAAACATTGCACTATCCTGTCTTATGTGCCTTTTTTTTCCTTAAGACAGAGTCTCACTCTGTTGGCCAGGCTGGAGTGCGGTGGTGTGAACACGGCTTACTGCGGCTTCCACCCCCTGGGCTCAAGTGATCCTCACACCTCAGACTCCCAAGTAGTAGGGACTAGGGGTGTGCCCATCACACCTGGCTGATTTTTACTTTTTGTAGAGACGGGATCTTACTTTGTTGCCCAGACTGGACTCAAACTCCTGGCCTCAAGTGATCCCCCTACCTTGGCCTCCCAAAGTGCTGGGATTACAGGTCTGAGCCCCACACCTGGCCTGCGCCTATTTCTTTAGGACGTAAAAACATTCGTGGCATCTCCTCTAAACACCTTTCCAGAAACCCTTCGGGACTGGGCTCTTTCTCTGAAACATCAGGTAGTGCAAGATGAAGATGGTCTTAAAAAAAAAAAGGTCTTTTTGAAGAAGCTTAACAAAAATGAGATTGCAGCTTTGCAGGGAAAATCATAGTTCTTCCAAACCTCCCATTCCAACAAGAGTGAGAAAGTGAAGTAAACTTGAGTTGGGGTCCCTCTCCAACAACAAAATCTCACCTAACCCTGATGTCTTCTCTCTTTTACAGCCTTGATCACTGATGACCTCACAGATGCGATTATCTGTGCCAGGAAAATTGTTAAAGAGACAGAAGGAATGAACTATTGGTAAGAGTCTTTCCTTGGGAGACTTTGGCTGCATGGACAAAACCTAGTGTGTGCCTTCATCACAACTATGGTGGAATTGACAACTCACCTCCGCAGAGCGGTCCAACCAATGGAAGGAGACCTTGTCTATATTCTCCTCCATCGGCGGGCAGGCGTGCAGGGAGCACAGCAGTAGATGGAAGGGGAGAGGAGAAATGGGATTGAGTTAAGTTAGTTTGCAATTGTTTTTCATCTGAACCGATTCCAAACAATGGGGAAAGGCATTTTCTAGTGACTTGGAAAGAGTCAATTGAGTCAATCAACAGAGTAAAAAACCCAGAAAGGTTGAGTTTGCTCTAGACTTGGATAAGATTTGGAAGGTTACAGCAACACTTTGCAGGGAAAGAGGAAAGTGAGCAGGTCTGTGACATGGCGACTCAGCAGAAGCCTCCCCAGGACTGAGCCTGGGACCTTGCGTTCCCTGCTGCTGTGTTCTAGTGAACATTGCTAGCCGGGCCACCCACTCAGAGAACCCGCATTTTCAGAGATGTGGGTGTGTCATGAAATGACCCATCCTTACCAAAGCTGATTGCTTGCTGCTGAAGCTAACAATGGCTAGGAGAGAAGCAAGAGAGAAAAGTCTGAACTAGGCAAAAGGGCAGTGTCCTTGGATCTCAGAAGCAAATGAGACCCAACCCAGGGTTCCGCTGTGATTCTGGTTAATTTCTGTAGGATTTGACCCTAAGACCATTTGGATTGTCATGCTTCTTTCTGCTGCTCCTGCTTCCCTCTCATCCTCAGGCAAGGCTGGAGGAAACACTGCGAGGGCAGAGACCTGTCCGAGTGGAAAAAAGGCTGTGAGGTTTCCTAAGCTGGGACTGGACCCAGGATGCTTTGCGGCGACGCCCCAGGGTTTGCAGTGAATGTCCAAATGCCTGTGTCATGTCATCCCGCGTCCTCCCAATATTCCTTCTCAAACTTGGAGAGGGAAAACTAAGCTACATTTTTAAGAAAATAAATATTTCCACTTAATATCTTCACCCTGACTCTGTTTCAATGACATCATAATAGCATGGTGTTAAGACTTGAACAATCACCTCCACAAAGCTCTAGCCCAGAGAGAAACAAACTTCCTTCTTCATTGTAGGGAGTCCTGGTTCCTGTGGCCCTGAAACATCTGCCCATGTCAAAAATAAGACTCCCTCATCTTCAGGGCCATCCTCAGGAACAGGACGCATGCAGAAGGGTGACAGTGAGAGCTAGGAGCACATGAGGGGCCGAGTCCCCTTAAAAGTCCCCAGAAGGAGCTTCTATGCATACCCACAAGCTAGGCACCATGCATCTACCCACATGCATGCAAGAGACGCAGAGAGACAGGGCAACTGAGATTCATGGTTTAATGACTGAAATTCTCAAAAAGGTTCTCAGTTGTATTTTCCGTATTTTGTAACCTGCATTTTCCAAGTTTTTCCTGATGTATTTTGCTATTAATGAAAAACGTCACCGGGAACAGCAGTTCACATGTCTAATCCCAGCACTTTGGGAGTCCAAGGTGGATGGATCACTTGAGGTCAGAAGTTCATGACCAGCCTGGCCAACATGGAGAAACGCTGTTTCTACTAAAAATACAAAAATTAGCCTGGCGTGGTGGTGCACACCTGTAATCCCAGCTACTCTGGAGGCTGAGGTTGGGGGATCACTTGAACCTACGAGGTAGAGGTGAACCAGTGAGTGGAGTGGTGCCGCTGCACTCCAGCCTGGGTGACAGAGCAAGACTCTGTCAAGAAAGGTGGGAGGGGGAGGAGGGGAGGGAAAGGGAGGTCATATTTTTTTCCAGAGAAAAAAATAAGACCCCAGCCAGGCTCAGTGGCTCATGCTTATAATCCCAACAATTTGGGAGGCCAAGGTAGGAGGACTGCTTAAGGCCAGGAGTTCAAGACAAGTCTGGGCAACATAGCAAGACCCTGTCTCTACAGCAGTTTTTTAAAAAATTGCAGCTTTTATGCAAAAATCCTGCTGGAAACTCTAATGGGTCCAAATAGATAAAATTGCAGCTCTTATGCCCAATATCCAGAGAGTTCCCCATGTTATTCCAACTTCTACTTAAATCAGGCTTGTCAAACCCACGGCCCATGGGCTGCATGTGGCCGAGGATGGCTTTGAATGTGGCCCAACATGAACTCGTAAACTTTCTTAAAACATTATGATATTTTTTTTGTGATTTTTCTTTTTAGTTCATCAGCTACCATTAGTGTTAGTATATTTTATGTGTGGCCCAAGATAATTCTTCTTCTTCCAGTATGGCCTAGGGAAGCCAAAGGTTGGAAACACCCGATTTAAATTAAACCTATCCAATTCAAAAAGCCATGCTGACATGCCCACGGCAAAGTTGTTTTTAACCTTAGACATGCAGATTTTATTTGTATAGCCAAGAATTTGGTGACTCTCTGATGGAAGTCTGGGTGACATGGCAGTGAGCCGATCATCTCAGACCCCAGAGGGATATTCCCAGGATGCCTTCTGCTCCACGCAGGGATGGCGCCCTCCTAGCTCCCATGGCAGGGTGGCTCCGTGGCACCTGCTGGATTTTCTCTTGCCCATTATCAATCCACATGCCTCTATTCTGCTGGGGCAGAGCTGGCTGGAGCTCTAAATTTAGGTGAAAGTAGTAGGCTCGTGTTGAATGCAATCTGACCTAGAAAAGGCCCTTAATTGAGGTTTGTTGGAGAATTGGTTATGTCAATAAATAAGTTTCCACTTAGAAGAAAGTCTCTGCTGATCAGACTGATGGATACAGTGACAGCGCCTACATAGCCCTTCACTATGCTCTTGTTGCCAACTCCCCGGGCCTCACTAATGGCTCCTTTTCTGCCCACTGGCTTCACTTGCATGCATAGGCTTTAAGAACTCCTGGGCCGGGTGCAGTATCTCACACCCGTAATCCCAGCACTTTGGGATGCCAAGGCAGGCAGATCACCTGATGTCAACAGTTCGAAACCAGTCTGACCAACATGGAGAAACCCCATCTCTACTCAAACACAAAATTAGCCAGGGGTGGTGGCACATGCCTGTAATCCCAGCTACTCGGGAAGCTGAGGCAAAAGAATTGCTTGAATCTGGGAGGCGGAGGTTGTGGTGAGCCAAGAACATGCCATTGCACTCCAGCCTGGGCAAGAAGAGCAAAACTCCAACTCAACAACAACAAAAGAACCCCTAACTGCTACTTGCCTAAATAAATAAATATGTAATATATTTCTAAACAGACATGTAATCCTGGGACAATTTGACAGGCATTACAAACCCTGGGGAAAAAAAGCTTTTGAACCCCATCTAAGAATTGAAAGATAATTCTATAAGATACCTGAAGAAAATCTGAAAAATGTAGAATCCATTAAGCTGCACTAAATCAATAATGCATGCTTATAGACAGCCATAAATATGCATTTTTCATTATTATTGTCCTGTTAGCCATCTGCCTTGCAATCTTCATTCTTAGCCAAATTTCTGCTTCATTAAAACCAGTGGCACCTATTTATGAGCTCAGTTGGCATGAACCTGGCACCAGCCATTCAAAGACTAGGGGAAAGATCCTTTTTTTAAACCAACTCCAAAAATAAGTGCTTTAAAATTCAAGGTGAAGGGATATTGGCTGCCCTATCATCAGACTCATCCGTCTTTTTGCAAAACTGACAAAATTTCTAAGCATGCCATCCTACTCCTCCCCTTCCCCATGTTTGATTTACTTCTATAAAGAATAATTTAGGATGAAAAAATGCATTTTCCCAGATGATTTTCCGTAATTAATGCCTTCAGCAATTCAAGAGAAAATGACTACTTCTATGCCTGAATTATCCTTGTTTAACAAAAGCATATTTTAGAAAAACCCACACTCATATTCTTTGTAGTTTCTAAGACATTTGGAAGTAGATTTTCATTTTCTCCTCATGGCCACATGATCTGCTGGTTACCAGACACATTGAGCAGACCATTGGGTATTAGAGGGTCTCGATCGGTTTATGTGGGGACATGGTTTCCTCGGGCACTCAGCTCTGCCTGATTCCTGGGATACCCCTTACTCTCCACAGCATCTGGCCCTTCGTATGCCAACTTGTTCCGTTGTTCCTCGATGCTTTCTGGTCTGCTCTGCAATTTTCCCTTGATGCCTTTTATACCCAGCATATCATTTCCCCTCGGGTGTCCTTGCTCTTGGTTTTTCCCGGACTTGGGGGTTGTGCCACTGCCCTGCAGCCTGTTCAAGCCTGGCCCCCGCCAACATAAAGCTCTTGCTCCTTTAACCCCTAAAGTGCTTGCCTCTGAACTCACGGCTGGTGTGTGCCGTAGGATTAGGTCACTGGGGATTGGTGTCCTCATCTAGCCTGTAAGCCCCCTGAGGCCTGAACCACGTCTTTCACTGCTATATTTCCACAGTCCCTGCTGCAGTGCTAAACACGTAATAGTTAACATTCAAAAATATCAGGTATTGGCCAGGCACAGTGGCTCATGCCTGTAATCCTTTCACTATAGGAGGCCAAGGCAGGAGGATTACTTGAGCCTGGAGTTTGAGACGAGCATGAGCAACATAGTGAGACCCTATCTCTACAAAAAATTCAAAAATTTGCTGGGTGTGATGGTGTACGCCTGTAGTCCCAGCTACTCAGGAGGCTGAGGTGGGAGGATCATTGAGCCCAGGAGTTTGAGGCTGCAGTGAGCCGTGGTGGAGCCACTGCACTCCATCCTGGATGACAGAGTGAGGCCCTGTCTCTTAAAAAAATTAATTAATTAAAAAATTTGATGATGATTTTTGGTACCACTGGACACATGTGGAATCATAGAAGGAATACAAATAAGACCTTGCATTTAGAACATTTTTGTTTTCAAACCAGGTTCATGTTTATTACTTCATATGTTCCTCCCAACAACTTTGGGATAGAGGGGATGTAACCTTCACTCCACACATGTCCCTGAGATACAGAAGGGGTAACTGTTGCCCAGGGGCCACAGTGCAACAGCAGAGAATCCAAGAGACCCCGACTGCACTGTGGGATCTTCAGAACTCAGGGACAGAACACGCCCAAGTCCCTTTACAAGTGGGGAGTGCCTAAGCACTCACCTGTGCTCCACACAGACGCTTCCTTGAGTGTCTCAAATATGCCACAAACTCTAAGCCAGCCCCTGCAAGATCCACAGGAACAATTTAATCTCTTCAAGGTGAATTTAAAAAATAAAGCCTTCATCAAGAGACCCAGAAAGAGTTTCTGTGCGTCTCCAATATAGGAGGAAATGCTCTGGGTGTCTAAAACCAGAACTCTCAACAAATAGGAACTACATTTTCCAACTAGAAATACATTATAATTTTTGACTTAAAAAATTTAGGCCAGTTGCAGTGGCTCATGCCTATAATCCCAGCACTTTGGGAGAGCTAAGCCCAGCTCCTCCATGACTGGCTGTGTGAGCACAGACAAGACGCTGAACTTCTCTGTTTCAGTTCCTGTAAAATGGGAATAGCAATATATGCCATGCGTGGCCATGGTAAGGACTAGCAACCGTATTAGAAGCATGTTAATCACCAATGTCTACTACAACCTGCCACAAGCCAGACTTGTAATCATTGGTGATTAATTTAGCTGGGGATGGTGACACCCACCTGTAGTCCCAGCTACTTGGGAATCTGAGTAGGAGGGTCGATTGAGCCTGGACGTTCAAGGCTGCAGTGAGCTGTAATGACACCACCACACTCCTGGGCAACAGAGCGAGACACTGTCTCTTTAAAAAAAAGGGATTATTATCCTATTTCTGCATTTTTCTTTGTCTATGATTTTGTAATAGGTGATTTCTACAGAATAAACTACATTTTATGTGAAATAAATGCATGTTCAAAAAGTAAGGGGCAGATCGTGGCTGAAAGAAACTCGAACGTGAAATGGAGGCTAAGTTTATTTTCACAGGTCCCTACTGCTGAGATTTCCAAGCTGCAGGGAAAAAGTTAAACTCGTCGCTAGATTGTCCTGCCTGCTCAAGAC